CCCCAAAACCCCAAAACCCCAAAACCCCAAAACCCCAGAACTTGTTACCACTCTGAATTCAAAGGGGATTTATATAATAAATTCTTGTGAAATGGGAGGTTGCTGCAATAACAAAGCTGGTCAGACCGGCAAGAGCGAAAGTCATCCAAGGTAACAGTAGTTTTAGACTGGGCAATTTTAGGAGGCGAAGAGTCGGGTTTATTGGGATTTTATAGGTTTAAGACTATACAAGGGAAGATTTTTGAAAACCAAAAGAAAAAGAAGGCTACTGAAGCAATGATAAGTAAGGAGATTGTCTTAGAAATAGTTGCTTTTGATTATATTGAGTCCAAGGGAGCATCTAAGAAAGAGGCCATAGACTCTATCATGAATATGAAACCTTCTTATGGGGTTTTATGTGTTCTAGATGTTATCTTCGATTACTTAGATTTCGATGATCTCAAAATCGTGGCTGGTGGATGCAAACTCTTTTGATATGTTGCCACACTTGATCGGCTTCTTGAAAAATATCAGTATGAGCCAGTTCTTCATGATCATAATTAACCTCTATGATGAAGATTATGAGGAAGAAAAGGTAAAATTTTCAACTAAAACATGGTTTATCAACACATATAGGTTAATTGAAAAGAAGGCCTGAGACATGAGTAAGTCCAGCTCTTAGAATATCTCAAATTTTGCCCCATTATTTTATTTAATTTGTAAATGTAGTGAAGGCCAAGACTCAGAAATTTGACAGTAAGCTGTTCTACATCTCCCAGAATGCCACTTTATTCTAGAATTTCACACATTTTATAGACATAGAGTTGACAGTGATTTCAAGAATAGAACTACAGACTCGCAACAATCTGTCACTTATGGGAACCACTCGAAGAGGGAGAGTAAGTCATCAATGTCTTCATGATCACCATGGATGACGACAAAGAAGCCGACCAAAGGATGCGAGGAGTCTCCAGCTCTCCGTAAAGGACTTTTGTCAAAGTAAGTACTTGCTTATTAACTAAATTTCAAATTTTTGATTAATTCTGAGTTAAAGGCAGAAAACACTGATGCATCAAATCATGTACATGAGAAATATGTGAGTGCTATCCAGGATTATGCCTTAGAACTCAAGCTCAAAGAGAAAGGAGCCAAGACTCATTTAAGAAAACAGTTGCTTTCTCTAATGGAATGGGCGAAGCCTACAGTGATGTTGACCATTTTAACCAGTGACTTAAGTCTTTAAGTAGCGAAGAAAACACGGATTTGATCGATATTGGAGTAAGCTTAAATCTTATTTTGATATTTACTACTTTATTTAGAATCCTGGAATCGCAAGTTTGAACTCTGGAATTATTGGGAGTCCTGAATCTATAGGTAAAAATATGATAATTAAAAATAGCTGAGCAAAAATAGAAGCTCAAAGGCTATTCCTTTAACAGACCCCAACTATACTCATGATTCGACTCAATGTAAGTGTAATATGTAATTTTAAAGCCTCAAATTCAAAGTTACGTCGACATACTGACCAGGTGCTAAACCCTCACCAATTCTTCAAAAACTCTAATGTTCCACACAACAGACCTAGCATGTTCTTGCCATATCATCTTCCTTGTATTAGAGGTAAGTATTTAGCTCTCATTCTTAAACTTTTGGGTTTTTCAAGGAGATTTAAGTTCTATTATACTAATACTTACATTTAGAGTCAGTAAATGAGTCAAATGAGCGCAAGAATACTTTTTCAAAGAAGACCCCCTCCTCATCTAGTGTAACCCTCCAATGCAATTTATACCTGCTAACTTAACTTTAGGAAACAAGCAAGAGCCAATCAGACCAGGAAATCTTGACTATTGATTTTAAGGATTTTTAAAATAACTTTATTGCTAAAGATTGTACAAAAGGGTACTTAGAATCTGGATAGGAATTATACACACCAAATAGGCCTTTTGGGCTGAGATTCTACACCTAATTCGGTTATATTATTAAGCTTGAAATATTATATAATTATTTGGGGTTTTGGGGTTTTGGGGTTTTGGGGTTTTGGGG